ATGTGGCAGAAGGTCATGAGTGAGTAGACGAGTAGGCGCTGCTTGTACGTATAAGAAATGAGGAGGACGAAGGGGCCGCTTGCTCATGGCCCTGGTAAAGGTGTGCCCACTCACCCGCCTTTGTTCCGTGAAGCCTCACCCACTGAAGTCCCCGCTGCCTGCCAGCAGTGCTGCCCTGGGAATGAAGCCTCAGACTCGTGGCCTTTGGGGACGCTTGAGATGCAGACTGTAGCACATCGCTAGAACACACTAGCCAGCCGTGGAGAGCGCTGGCCTCATCTGCACGCTGTCACCACGAGAGTATGTGACCTGGGAGTGTCCAGTTGGAGGAAGGAGACCACGTCACTGTCCCTCCTGCTGCCATTTTATGTCTGCACACAGGCGCTCCCCAGGCCCCCAGAGGGACTTTGGCCGGAGATCTGGGGGCCCACTGCCATCATGGCCATATATCAGGGCTCTTAAAAATGCCTCTCCTATCTCCTGGTGCTGTTGACTTCCCCCCTCGGCTGAATGGATTTGCTGCTGGGATTCCCGCGCCCCCTCCTCACTGGGCCTTCTCTAGCTGTTTGCCCCGATCAGTCCTTTCCAGCACTGTGCTCCCCTGCCAGGGTATGGCTGTGACCACTACTCCACTGTTCACTGCCCTGGGGGCGCCAGGCTGGGCGAGCACAGGGCCTCCGCCCAGGGCCCAGCAGGTGCCTTTTGCTGACAGTGGCCATTGGGTGGGCGAGCTGGGGGTGTCCAGAAGGGTGGCCCTGACTTACAAGCCAATTTGGAAAGGTGAGACTGATTCTTAATGAACACGTGGGACAACGGAGGCGAAGGTGCTGAGCGAAGGTGTTTTTAGTACACAGAGAGGCTGAAACTCTGCTGTAGGGGAAGGAATGGGAGGGCACCATGCGCACTGTTTAAGCTTAGGATCCTGTGGGCTCTAAAAACCAGTTCTCAGGTTTGGGTCACAGGTTTTCCTGAAATCTCAGAAAATCCAATAGGATATCATGTCCGCATCTTGTATAGCAATTAACCACTAGGAAGAATTTGTGCAATGTGTTAATTATTGAAGCTGTCCTACCAATTTGGTTTGAAACTGACTCATTGCTATTTGTTTCTCAATAAAATTATGGAAAAAAAAAAAAAAAAGGAGAGGAGAGGCGTGTTCTTTAAGAAAGTCTTAAACTTGGCCGCGCTTGGCGCATGCGCATTCCCAGAGCCGCGGGCTGGGCGGGGGCGCCAGGCTGCCTCCCATCCCCCACCCGCAGTCCTCTGTGCTCTTGTGTTGCACACTGCCCACTCGGGCCTGCTGCCTGCCAGCTGCCTGCTCCTGGGCTCCTGGGCTCTCAGTGGTGAGACTGTCCTACCTCCCCCGTTTTCCCGTGCTATGGCTGTATGATCAGAAGATCTCTGCAGTCACTGCGTAAGCCTGTTTCCCTCCTAGTTTGACTTGGTTGTAGACTCTTTCTTTTGGCTTAAGCCCAGACATTCATTACAAAAAGCATAGGCTGTTCTGCCCTATTGTGTCGGACCCCTCTGCCCCAGCACACCACTGCCTGGGGCTGCCCGCAGCGAGGCCTCGGTGCTGTGCACACCTGCGCCCTCGCACCTGTGCAAACAGCCCTGGGCAGGGCCAGCGAGAAGAGCTCTGAGGGACCCTTGTCCTGCAAAGCCGCCTCGGGATTTTCTTTCTCTTTCTCTTTTTCTTCACATAAAAGCTGCTCAAGGTCCAATTGACTTCATTCTAAATCTGGCAAAGTGCTTTCTTCTTTCTTTTTGCAGCTCAAGAGGTCGTACCCTGGACTTTTGCACCAAGCCACATCACAGATGGTTTTATTATTTTTTTAAATTTTGAGGTAGGGTTTCACTAAATAATTAAGCTGTCCATGCCAGGCTTGAACTTTTGCTTCTCCTGACTCAGCCGGGATTAAAGGTGTCCACCACCAGCCCCTGCTGGCAACGTGCTTTCCATCTCGAGCTAGTTGGAAACCCACAAAGAAGCTCTTACAATAAATTATAGTCTATAGAATAAGAATGTTTATTTTCTTTAATAGGCTGTTTTTATAAAGGATATTGCTGAGTTACAAAAGCCTATCTTCCTCCGCGCTGTGCCTCCCCTGACATTTAAGTTTTATTCCAAGTGGGGAGGGCAGGGCCAGAGCCTCAAGGGCCCTCTCCTTTTACTGGGCGTGGGTTCTTCACTTACCAGGTCTGCACAGCGAGGCATCCAGAGTCTCCAGCAGGCGGGCGAACGTGTTGCCAGCGGCGGTGCAGATGCGGTGTCTCCCCCGGGGATGCACAGTCACGGCTCTGTCGCCTGGCCCTCTGCAGCGCTCCATGGGCTCCAGACATGCCACTGGCCCAGTTTTGAGCACGAGCCTTCACCTTAACGCTTCTGTCTGCATCTCTGACAGCAGAGCACCCAGGGTGGCCTTTGCCCCGGCCCCCATTTGGGGATCGATGGTGGGGCCTCTGCTTCCTGCTCCTTGCTCTGTGGGATGGTGCTGTGCTGAACCTGTGGTGGTTTTGGTAGTGTGTGGGTGTCCTACTGAAATCCTCCAGCACCGTGCAGCCAGCAGTGACCCAGACACAACAGCTTTGTGAGAAGGGGACTGAGCTTTCCAATGTGCCAGGCCAGGGGCAGGGACCTCCGGCACAGCTCCCACCTCCTGCAGGCCATGAGTGGGTTGGTGTTGAGGCTCGTTAGTGTCAGAAGCCGAGTGAAGGCATTGCTCTGGGCATAAATGCACGCACACACGTGCCTGCGCACGCACACACACACACACACACACACACGTACACACACACACAACCACCACCAACAATAACAACCACCACCACCTTCCACTCAGGCATGACAGCTCATAGTTGCTGTCCCCGTACTTGAGGAGGCTGAGGGACCAGGCTCAGAAGGTCAAGTCCTGTCCAAATGAAGGAAAAAGAAAATAATAGAATGTTTGGGGATGCAGCCAGGACTCAGTCTCTGGGCTCAGTCCCCAGTACAACAAAAACCCATCAAAGCCAACAGAACTACCCTAAACAACAATAATAACAAAACCCCCACCGGCATCTGCAGAGCCCTGAGTCCAAGCTGATCTGTTTTCTCTGGATTCCAGCTGAAAGCAGCATGATCATTTTAGCAGACAAGTGAACCATGGATAAATGGAAGCATGCTTCTTTGAAACCTCTCTCTCTGCTCCGGGGGCTGCTGCACATAAGGGTCTGCCCTTGTCTTGCCTCTTGTCTCAGCCTCCCTTCACACCTCAGAGTTCTGGGAAGTAGCCACTGGAGTAACAGCCTGCTCTCATGAGGAGCCACGGTTGGAGGTCACCAGCCACAGCACCCTGGCCGTGCTTCCCTGGGTGGGAGTGCTGAGCACTCTCCCTGGGCTCCTAGCGAGGGGTGTAGACCCCCATGAGCAGGCTGAACCCAAGGACCATTCTGTCCCTTCAGTTTTTGATTCTAGTGTCTGGTTGGTAATTGTTAAAACCAAGTTGGACCCGCAGACCTTCCTGGGGAGGCTCTGGTAAGTTTTCAAGGAAGGCAGCATTCTGAGTTTGAGAACTTGTCTATTGTCCTTTACAGTGGGAGGAACAGAGCCTGGGGAGATAGCTCAGCAGAACAAGTACTTGCAAGTGCAAGATCCTGAGTTCAAATCCTGGCACTGAAAAAAA